ACAACTATGAGATATCATCTCACCCCAGTAAGAATAGCAAAATTTAACAGAACAGCAAGCAACAAATGCTGGCAAGGTTGTGGAGAAACTGGAACCCTTATTCACGGCTGGTGGAAGTGTAAAATGGTGCAACCACTGTGGAAGGCGGTATGGCACTTTCTCAAAAAGTTTCAAATAGAGATACCATTTGAACTAGCAATTCCACTACTGGGAATATACCTCAAAGAAACCATAACTGACCTCCAAGAAGATATATGCACACCCATGTTTACTGCAGCTTTGTTCACAATAGCAAGGAGTTGGAAACAACCTAAGCACCCATTAGCAAATGGATGGATAGAGAAGCTGTGGTATATTCACACAATGGAATACTATGTTGCATTGAAAAATAAAGGTATTATGCAATGGTATTCAAAATGGGTGACTCTGGAGGACATTATGCTGAGTGAAATCTCTCAGTCACAAAAGGACAAATACTGCATGGTGTCACTGTTGTAAAACAGGACTGACATTGAGGTTGGGAGGAGAGTGAGAAGCATGGGTTCAATAATGTATATACTGCATTGAAACAGATGAGGGAGAAAACTGTTCAAAAGGGATATGTCATTAGGTGTTTTTGTCATGACAGGTGTCTAGAGCGGAGGCTACATAGTGGAGTGGACTTGGGGGAGGGTTTGTAAAACAATGAAAGAATTTTTGTTTTACTTTTCAAAGAGGGTAGTGTACTAAGGAGGAGGGTTGGGAGGGGAGAAAAGTGCGACAATGAATGAATGGAGATCCAAAGTCTCTGTAAATTTTTACTAAAATTAATAGTAAATTAAAAAAATAAAATCAAAAGACAGAACTCTGGTGGCCTAGTGGTAAGGAGGTGCACTGGCAACCAAAAGGTACATGGTTTGAATCTAACAGCTGCTCTGCTGGAGAAGGATGAGCAATCTCCTTCCATTTGATTTACTATCTCAGAAAACCCTCTGGAGGGTCGGTTCTGATTCGACAATACACAATAAAAAAAGGAAATCAAACGACGTGCTGCCCTGAGAAAATCTACCATCAAGACCTCTCCAAAGTGCTAAGGAGCAAGGGTGTCATATTAACAACAAAAGTGTGTCTGATCCAAGTCATAGTATTTGCAAAGGCACCCTATGCACCTAAACACTGGACCAAATGAATAAAGACGACAGAAGAATCGAAGCCTTTGAACTGTGGTGCTGGAGAAGAGTACTGAACACTTCACAGCCTGCCAAGGGAACAAACAAGTCTGTCATGGAGGAAGTGTAACCAGGGTGCTCCTCAGAGGCAGGTGTGGTGAAGCTTCCTTTCAGGTACTTCGAGCATGTTGTCAGGAGGGTAAAACATCATGCTTGAAAAAGTGGAGTGTCAATAAAAGACAGGAAGACTCTCAACAAGAAGGATAGACACAGTGGCTGTAGCAATGACCTTGAGCGTATCAGAGATCACAGGGATGGCGCAGGTTAGGACAAGGTTCCGATCTGTTGCTCACAGGGTCACTATGAGTCACAGTCGATTGAAGGGTGCGCAATATCAACAACAAAGTTTTAATTAAAAATAAAGACATTCAGGGATATTATTCAGCCAGAACATACTGACTTTGAATGTGTGCTAATAAGAGTGCAATGCCATTTTCATCACACAAACGTACACACACCCCACACAGTAGTGGTAAGAGAGTAAATGAAAACTGCACATCTGTACACGTTTTACTAGTTGTCTATTTCTACAGTAATGCTCTTTCCTAGTATCCACTATTGTAGAAACAGAAAACTTATAAAACGTGTATAAGGATCCAAGAAGGGGGGAGCGCAGAGGAGAGGATGGGTGGGAAGCATAGTCCTAGGGTCGGGTCATACAATCTGACTGGTGGAGGGAGTGGTGGGTTAAGGAAATGGGAAAGATCAGGCGTGAAAAACAATGTATACAAATTTTGTAAGTAAACCAGTATAAAAGAAGTTTACAGAAATATATATAAAGAAAACTGCACATTGTAGTAGTTTTAACACCACCAGATAACAAACAACAACCCAATGTCTGCAAATAAGAAGAAAGAACTATTCAATGGTGTACGAGTTAATGACTGCAGAGTGAGAGGCAACGGCCGGTCAAATGTAAAAATTACACCAAAATTCTGTGGCAGCCAAGCCCTGATGATCTTTGTTGAAATGAACCGCTGGGTTATTAAACGTGCTGTGAACCACTGAGATGGTGCTATGGGGATGACGCTGACTCGCAGTGACAGGGCAGAGCTGAGCTTTCCCCAGGACTCTCACCTTCACAGAGGGAGATGTCAGATCTTCCTCTCATGGGGCCTAAGGTGAGTGTGAACTGCCAGCTTTCTGGTTAGCAGCTGAGCGCTCACCCATTGCGTCCCAGGGCCCCCTTTAGGAAATGAAGACATGCCATACTAGCACTAACTTTTCTTACCTTTTACAATGACTTGGTAGATAAAGGAGATTATATTTTGTATTCTGAATCTGAATAAAGGGGAGAGAAAGAACTGCCCTATCACTCTCTCAGGACAAGGGGACCCTGGGCCCACCAACACTTTCTGCCCTAGGGCTTTAGTGGGATGGCTGGTCCCACTTTCCGTGCATGCTACTGGTGGAAGGAGCTCTGAGGGTTTTAACATACTGAGCTGCTAACTCCAAAAGGTCAGCTACTCAAACCCACCAGCTGCTCTGTTAGGAGAAAGACCGTTTTCTTTAAAGGGTCACTGCCTGAGACACGACGGACACTGCTAGGAGTCAGGGTGGGCTCGGCAGCATTGGGGCCAATGATGGGGGCTTGTACATTGTGTGAGCCTGAAGAAACGGGCCTCCTTCCACCATCCATGGCACAGAGACAGCAGAGGGACAAAAGGGACCCTCTAATGGAGTAAAAATCCCTATTTAAAAAATTTTCCCCCATTTCATTCATATGTCTTCCATTACTGAAATTATATGGCTTAAATAAAAAATTTACAGCAGAAAAGATCTCAGTCTTAAAATTATTAAATTGAAAAAGTTGTAAATTATAATTTACCTGGATCCTCGCGAAAGTGGCATTAAGTTATAAAAGTAATAAACTAATGATAAGATTAAGTTGCAGACAGCATCAGCCTCCTAGGGGGGAAAAATACACGCCCATTAACTTAAACAGAGGCAGCGAGATGAATCACCATTTACAAGAAGAAAAAGAGAATTTCTTTCCTGCTCTACCAGACTGGCTTCTTCCCTTCTTGAATATTCTATACTGTTTGGTGTCCTGGTTTCCAATGGAATGTGTTTCCTTAAACTACTCTGCAAGATTCCATGAAGCTCCATAGCACACCGAGGCTCAGGTGAGAAATACGTTAACTCCATTTAGAAGCTGAGATGTTAGCTGGAGTTCTGAGGGCCCCAGGCTTTACATCAGGCACGTGGAAGGTGCCATGGCCAGCACACTGCAGCAGGCTGAGAAACACAAGATGGACATGACAGACAGCCTGTCTGGCCTTCCCAGACGAGCATAGGAAGAGGCTGGAGTCATGCCTTTAAAGGACGTATAGCCTCAGTCTTCCTTCACTGCCAAAAGTAAAATGCACGAGAATGTTCAGATCTGATAGCTCATTACAAACATGACTGCAAACTGCAACTAAAGAGATGAAAAAAGAGACACTATTGGGAGGACTGCTTGTACAGACTGCTGAAGATCAAACTTACAGTAATACATAGCACAATACACATAGCTCCCAACTGTGTATATTTATCTATTCTCTCAATAATGAAGTGTTTTTTTTGTCTACGAGAACACTAAATAAATCAATAAATAAATGCTTATAGGTCAAATAAAATTACTATCAAGTATGACATGTTCAATTCTGATAAGAAAGTAGAGCTTTTAAAAGTGATTACAAAAGTACCCCAGGAAGGGTGGGTAAAATGGAAATAAACAAAACTTACCCCAAACTCTGATGAGAGAATTAACACCTTTCCTTTTGCTGTCAGATCTTTATAAAGTGCATCGATTTCGGCATGATACAATTGTGTTCTTTCTTCTGTGGTTTGTGTTTCCACAGAAAACAGTATATTGCCAACTCTTAGAAGAAAAGAAAGCACTTATACAATTTAAAGAGTAAAAAAAAAAAACAAACCAAACCAACAGCAAAGAGCATGCTTACGTGGCACTAAACAGAACTAAGAATGTACCCTGCCTTTTTAGTTAGAGAGAGGAAGGCATGCTTCAAGTATGCAATTATGCTATAAAAATGGATATGAAGGCTGTCATATTGTTTACTCTAGCCACATGTGTTTATTATATGAGCTTAAGCTAGTACAAAATGAAACAAGTACATATATAAAGAATGAACTCATGGCCAGTAACTATTTTATCAGTTTTTACATAGTGAATAACAAGTGGGCTCTGAAGGCAGCTCAGGGAGTATAGTTTTTAAAATGAAGCTTCTGCTTTCTGTGTTTTATGTGATGGACGGTAGGGAGCCCTGAGATGCCAAGACATGAAACAGGCAAGGCCACTGTCTTTACAGGGTAAGGTCAAGTACAAACAAGGACGTGCTTCTTAAGACCATGTCAGCACCCTAACACAGCTCCTAGGACATCAACTGAAGATGCAACTGTATCTAACTTGGAACACAAAGAATGGAAATTGGGAACATGTCACAGAAGGGCCAGCTGATAAAGGGCCCTAAAGTGCAAGGATGGATGGTGATAAGTGGGGAGCCAGGCCAGTGGGAGGTGAACCTGGGGTGCAGCAGCCATCCATCAGATCAAGTCTCTTCAGGAAAATGGTACAAGGCACCAAGCTGGAAATTGTCACATCATAGGAAGTGGTGTGAGCTCTCAGCTATTGAGAGACCAAGGCATGGTGTGGAGAGAGAAAGGGCTCTTTCGTGTGAGGGGACTATCTGTGAGAGGGATACATGGATGGACAAGGTGGGAAGACAAATTATGTGTCTCTGGGAAAAATTGGGAGACCCGGAGCAAAGGCAATGGAGATGGAAAAAACTCGGCTGAGGGAAGACACTACTTTAGTGGAAAGGAATTGTCGATGCTCTTTTATCCTGTACTTCTATTTCTGTTGTGACACTACAGAGCAGCTGGGCAGCTGGAGGATTTGAACTGCCTGCTTTGGGGTTGCCAACTGCTTACCCCTGGACCAGCAGAGCTCACTACACAGTACAACCTAAAAAATATGGAAAGCAACAAAATCTAAAAGCTGTTAAGCAGGTGTGTACACATGAAGGGTTGTGCAATAGGAAACCTTGTTATATGAAAGAAAAGTCCATGAAAAAAGCAGAGCCTGAGAGGCAGAGGACCCAGGAGGACATAGGTCATGCCCAGACAGCTGACCTGACAGGGTTCTTGAGAGGCTCTGGGATTGAGAGATGGGGTGGTCAGAAGGATGTAGGTCACACCCAGGCTGCTGACTGGACAGGGATGTGGGGAGGCTCTGAGACTGAGACTGCTGACCAGATGGGTCTTGGGAAGCTCTGGGACTGAGGGATGGGCAAGAGTCGGCTGGGAGGAATGCAGATTAGGGAAATTCCACTTTAAACCTACAGCGTCTGCAGCTTTTAGACAGTTGACACGTGGACATCCCAACCCAGACCTGTCTGCTATTCAGTCTGGTCTGACTCAGCGACCCTGCAGGACTGAGGAGAACCGCCCACAAGGCAGCAGACTTTGCTAGCCTCCTGTAGGGTGGACGGTGGGCTCCATCTTTCAGTCAGCAGCCAAGCATGAAGTCACTGTGCCACGAGGGCCTTGCCTGGGTATGAGATGTATATAAAAAGTGTGTTGTTACATGCTGCTGAGTTAGAACCAACTAAAGGCTGACCCTCCAGGAATTTCAGACTGTAAATCCTTTGATGCCATGTGTATAGAGGTGGTGCTGTGGGTTCCACACTGGCAGATATGTCTTCATATAGTGCAGAATTTGACAACTTTCTAGATATTGTCACTTTAGCATCTCCTAACTTGTAGGAAGCAGGCTTCTGGAATTCTCCAGCTTTTGAAGGGCTTTTACTGATAGGATTACATGCTGGACCCTGGGCCCCTTCTAAGGTAAGAGCCACCAGCCATGTGATGGGCTATTCCCACACACCGCAGCCACGGTGCGCACACCACGTACTTGTCTCCTGTGATGGTGATGGTGAGGCCATCGTACTCCTTCCCTGGGTCTCGGAGGCTGGGGACTTTTGTGTTCACAGTGAACCCATCCTTTGTTTTAGTATTAAACTGCTTTCAGGGAAAAAGAAAACAAGCATTACTAGTTCAGAAATCACTCTCTGCTGACTCAACTCAGTTGTGCTGAGGATCACATGTATCGCCTGATGGATGAGGCCTTGTGCTCTGACCTTGTGTGTGGTGATGGCCCTCCACTATCCTCATGTACTGGACAAGCACGCAGCCCCAGTGACGCTGCCCATGGCCCCCAGAGGCCTTATCCAGAAGGTTCTAGGCTCCTTCCAGCAACAGAATGTGTTGCTTTCCTCTGTGAGCCATTTCCAGTTTTGTTTTTAACCTCACGTTCATTTACCTCCAGAAGCAGCAATTTAGATTCTTTGCAGAAAGATTATACCTTGTAGCCCAAAACTCCATGACAATTTATGCTCATGTCAGCACTTCTTTAGAGCGGAGTCTGGGTCTAGTGTGGTTCTTCTGAGAGGTCAACTCAACAACTCATTGCATTGGAGTCTCAACTGACTCAGAACTGACGTTCAGTGGGTTTTCAGAGGCTATGAATTGCATGGGAAGAGACTGTTTATCCCAAAGAGCAGCTAATAGATTTGAACCACCTGCCTTTGGGTTGGCAACACAACTCCTTATCCGCTAGGCCACCAGAGCTCCCTTTCTGAGAGG